ATATTACGAAATGGCTGCACATGTGTTTGGTTACACCTACACTTGAGTACACCTCTGTTGTATGGTTTCCTTCATATAAGTGCTACGTAGATTCAATTGAATCTGTTCAGAAGCAATTGCTTATATTTGCCCTTAGGAATAGGCTCTGAAGTTGAGGAAATGTTGATAAATAGACTGAGTAAATGGTTTAAGCATGTATTCATGTTTACAGTGGGTAACATATGTTTGTGTACGTATGAAATGCCATGCGCAGTTACGGATGAGTTTGGCAAGTTATGTATATACAACAATGCAGTGCATAAATACATATGTTTGTAAATTGTTTGTTGTGTTATATGCGTTTTATATCTAGGCATAATATGAGAAATATATGGAATAACTTTAAATATGTAAATATGGTTGTTCATAAGGTTTTATATATAGCCAAAATAATTATATATACAGTAAAAGCTCTTTATTCGTCGGGTATATGTTCCATAAATATGCCGCGAAAACAGAAACCGTACATACGGAATGGTAATTTATATGGGATTGTAGGGAATACGTTCCTAGGTGACAAACTAAAAATAATCAAATACATAAAAACATCAATTTAATTGAAGTTTTTGAACATTTGGATTAATTGCCATGAGGCTTAGGCAACGGTTTGAAGAATTTTGCAATCTTCTCTTACTTGGCAGTTTTTAAAAGCTCCTTCAATTCTGAATGATACGCAGCAGTCGCATTAGCAATTTGCCTCTCAAAATAAGACTTCGTTCCATAGACGGATCAATGTTCATAAAGAAATCGCGAAGCTCATTTGCCATACTTAAATCTTCAGTAAGATTTTTCAAATTAAATGTCGAGTTTCCAGTGCTTGTTGAAGCCTCTTCTTCAATGGGCTGTGAATTTAACATTTCCTCCAAGTCGGTTTCAGTGAAATCTTACGATGCATTTTGCTATGTTAAATTTCTTCCAGCATTTCATATCAGGGTTACATTCCCTATTATCCATTATGATTTTGAAGGCTCGTCTAATGTAACAGAGCTTAAAGGCCTGGATTACTCCTTGGTCCATAAGTTGCAGCAAAGCCGTCGTGTTGGGAGGTAAAAATGTCACTTTTATATTTCGATGCATAGTTTCAAGTTCGCGGGGATGACCTCGTGGATTACCCAAAACTAGAATTTTGTGTTTTTAAATAAGTTTCAACTTCAGAAACAAAACCATTCCGTAACTAATCACAAAAAATAGCACTTGTAACCCACGCTTTCGTATTAGCACGCCAAAACACTGGCAGGTTGTTCTTGTTCTGATTTTGTAAAGCCCGAGGATTAAACGATCTGTAAACCATCAGTGGCTTAATAACACAATCTCCAGATGCATTAGAACATAGCACCAGTGTAACTCTATCCTTTGCTGCCTTAAATCCAGGAGCAGACTTTTCGCTTTTAGAAATGAATGTTTTGTTTGCCACTCTCTTCCAAAACAGTGCAGTTTCGTCTGCATTATATACTTGCTCAGGTTTATATCCTCCATCAGCTACTAGGCTTGCAAATTCTTCCGGATATCGTTCTACTGCAAAAATGTCTGCGGATTCTCCTTCTCCAAAGATTTTAATGTTATGCAATGATTGTTTCACCTTAAATTTATTGAACCAACCATCAGTTCTTTAAAATGAGCCTAAAGACGCTTTGTCTTCTTCCGGACCATTTTATCACGCAGGGGCACCCTTTTTTGGTTGCGGTCTTCGATCCATAATGACAACGCCGCTTTCATTTTTTCTATTGTGGGATCACGAACAATTTTCGCTGACAGTGAAGTTGAAGCTACAGATTATCTACGGATTTTTTTTATCAATCGTAAAGTTGATTCGTTGACATTGAATAAGCATGATGGATGGAAATGACTCTTCAAGGCGTAAACGATTAAGCATTTCTATTTTCACTTTAAGCGGTAACACAGATTTTTTGCGTGTCGAAACTCGTTTCTCATTTTAAAAGAGCGGTAGAGATTCCAATTTTTGTAACGAACGGAGCAGCAATATTTAAAAATATGTATACACACTTTATTCATTGAGTAATAAAGTTGCTTTCATTCTGTTCTGCACTCGGTACTTGTAGTGTTAATGATTATTTCTTGGTGACTCAATATCGTATACAGTACTATGAACATGCAAGTGTACAAACTTAGATTTCAATAAAGAAAATGAAGAAAAAATGTGCGAAAAATTTAAAATTAAGTATATAAAATTTAAAATAATGTGCAATAATTCAATAAATAAAAATTATAGAGCCGATAACCAAGTTTATACAATGCGAAATAAATATTCAAATATTATTAACTTGTAATTATATCTACATAAAATAAACAAAGTAACACAAACGATAACTCACACCATTCACTACGTAAATCAACCGTCTAAGCCATAACATATAATGAAAAAAGGCAATACCTATGTGGCTGCCTTAAGTAACATCATATCGGTTTTGAAGATGGTTAGAAAAGGTGGTTTGAACATGGTAGTTCCAGGGTTTTAGTTGTACACATTTTAAGATTATTAACAACATCAAAATCTAACTAAATGATTTCACTCCAGAGAAGATATCAGCTTTGCCTGTAAACATTTTATTGCTTATTGTGAGTACCCAAAGTCGTCACCCGTTTTGGCCTCACGGGTTCTCCTTCTCTGGCTGGGAAGAGAGGAGTGCTAGAGAGTAAGATAGGATAAGAGTAGGATAGGCGGTCCCCGCAAAATACAAATTTCTTGTGCGTTTCCAATAGCCTGGGGCGCTGAGCTGCCCAAAGGGACGAAAATCTTCTCGCAAGCGGCACCCGAGCAGCGACCTTTATTCTTTCACAAACGGGAGTGTAGTAAACCCATTAAAAAAAAGAAAAAAATACAAAAAAAGAAAAAAAATACAAAAAAAGAAAAAAAGACACAAAAGAACGATCGATACCATCATTAAACAAAGACAAAGTTTTCGTGTTTGAAACATACAAAAGAGGAAAAAAAAAACATTGGACAAAAAGAAAAGGTTGAGAAACAAAAAAAAAAAAAGGAAAAAAAGCAAGTATGGAACATTAAAAAAAAAAATTTATATGAAACAAATAAATAAATAAACAGAAAATATTAAAAAAAAAGAGTAGGGGTTCTTAAGATAATGGAGTTGCAAGTGTGCATAAAGATGTGGTAAAAAAAAAAAAAATACAAAAAAAAGAAGAAACTACGCACAACTAGCACCTCATGTAAATAAGGGATGAAATGCACTTTGCATAAAAAACATGCAAAGGCACCCACACACGCACAACATCGGTAAGAACAAGCATAGAATTTGAAAGACACCTAAAGTTGAACACGCAACAACAAAGATAGGCATTTGCGATCACATAAGAGCCTGCGTTAAATAAAGTACCGAGAGGTTTTCGCCTAAACTCCGCTATACGGCGAAAAAAACCCAAGAAAGGCGAATTGATCGGGGTTGGCAAAATGACTGGAGAATATAGGAGAATATTAGAAAAACGGTGGCCAAAGTGTGCGAGTCGGCCGCAAGAAATAGTAACGCAAAAAAAAAAAAGGTGCAAGCGGTGTAAAAGAAGTGAAAGAAAAACCTCAAAGTAAACGGAGAAAAAGTCAAATAAAAATTAATGCGCTAAAAAAAAAAAGGAAAATTATATACCAAAAATATCTTAAATAAATTTAACATAAAATTGCAAAACCCGTGGAAAAGAATATAAACTTAAACAGCCATAATATTTGGCAAACAACGCTTGCATAAAAATTGAAAAGAACTGGAATTGATTCAAGTAGAAAGTTGATGTGTTTGCAAATGCATTTAAGTAGAAGTACGAACGAAAAGTGTGACGTAAGAGTTAAATGAACGTTAGCAGTTGCGTGTGTATGCTTGTGTGTGCGCGCAAACAATTTGCGAATTGACATATGTAATAAAAGCATTTGTGTAAAACTGAAAAAAAAAAAAATATTAAAAGGTACAGGACAAAACTAAATTGTTAACAAAATTGCACTCAGGAACGAAAGAAAAAAAAGGAAAAAATAACATAGAAAGCGACCACACATACGCGGAACAATTCAAAAAAAAAAGAACAAAGAGATCGGCAATTCAATGCCAAAGGTAACTAACAAAATTTTTTTTTAAAACGAACAACGAAAGGCAAGCCGAGGTTAAATAAAACTACCAAAAAAAAAAAAAACAAAAGGTTATCGTGAAGAAGAAGAATATGCATTAAAAACTCACAATCAAACGTGCACTAGCAAATAAATACCAGGTTCAACAAAATATAAATCAACGAGGGAATCAGTGGCGTGATTTTACATTTGCAAGCGAAAGAAACAAAAAAAAAACAAATAAAAAACAAACCTTTTGCAACAGAACTAAGAGAAAGACATTGAAGGTGCGAGCAAAAGACTAATTTTTTTGCAAACACAACATACGAAAGAGCGATCTAAGAGGGAAAGGGAAAGGAAAGCTACAAATACATCATTCTGCAAGATCACATTAAACGGTGTTAAGTGAAATAAATTCATCCATGTGCGTGCCCTACGTCATAATCAACCACCACCAGCTAAACAATTTTGCGAAAATATAAAGAGGAACCAAGCATTTAAGACGCGACTTCAGCATAGCGGTCAGTAGCTCTTTTACGTGGCAATAAATTGGCGAATTGTTCAGTTAAATATCATAAGAAGCCAAGATCGATTTTACCAAGTGGGAAAAAAACAAACTTAATTTATAACAATAACAGAAACAAATATTAACCTTCTATTTATTTCAACTGCCTAGGTCAACAACAGCAACACCCTCTTCAGCTCCATCATCATTCTGTTCACCAACAAGAGCCTCAACAGCAACGGCAGGTACAATTGCAGGCGGGTCGGGTGCGCTTAAGCCACCCGACAACTGCTAACCGACCGTCAACGCAGTCCCACTCCACCCACAGCAACAACTTCAAGAACCTTATCAAGTATCAGAGCAACAGCACATACAACAACAACAACAATAATCTCACCAAACACCAACGCAACTACAACAACAACTTCCTTAACATCAAGGACAGCACCAATCACAGATACCTCCACCACTACAACAGGGTGTGAGTTCAGGTCAGTAGGCAACCTGTAGACATAAAACATCAGAATTTTACACCACCAACAAAACTTAGATTTCAGCTCAGAATTTTTACAAAGAATTAATGTTAACTAAAGCTATAGGGCGGAACTAGGAAAGGTACGAAGTTGCATGCGAAGGTAGCAACCGCAATTATTCGCGTAGCGCGCACCAAGCGGCCTATTAATATCAATCTATTGTTGTATGAAAAAAAGGGAAAGTTTGCGCACCGTATATAGGATTTTGCCGTTGCAACCGAATTCTGATGGATTGTAGAAATTGAAATTGCAAAAAATCTAAAAGGAAAAGGTAAAATAACAACGGTGAATTATAAAATAAATATAAAGGAAAAGTGATAATAACAAAACTGTGGGAAACAAAATATAGGCAGCCGTTCAGTGTTAAATAGTCAATTAAATAATTACGAGTATAGCCAAGTCCCTCCTCTCTTGAAGAAAAATTGAATAACACACAACTCAAGAGATAATTTTTTTTGGGGAAAAAACCTGAAAGTATAACGTCTCTTGATTTTGTTTTTAAAAGAATTTCTCGGTTACCAATTCTAAGAAAGGTAACAGGCGGACGGCCTACAGACTCCGTCAGGAAGCGTGTTTGTTTGTAAAAGAAAATTGAAGGTCCTTCCAACCAATACTTCCAAGGACAAAAATAATAATAGTGAGGATCAGACAAAACTTTTCCGTGAAGCATTCTCCCTTTAACAAAATTTGGGAATCCACTGCTGTTTTCGCTAAATATTGCTCGTTTTGAGCCGACGAAAATCTGCAAAAGGAAGAATCCAAGTAAAGATTGCAGGGCAAAATAAACCTATTTTATAAGTAGCTTTGTCTATCTTTCTATTGATTTGATCTAGGGTTACAAAACTTGGGTTTCTCTGTTCCTTTTTCTAATTTAAAACTCTAATGACTTATCAAGATTTAATTTTGTCTCAACAAAATCGAGTATATCCAGGAAAACTAGTTCTAATTGCTTTTAACAATGAAGAATAACAAAGCTTTTCGCAAGAAAAACGGTACACGAAGAATCGAGGGAAGGATTTGTATAATGCGTGTCTGCAGGCAACGAAGACGCAAGAGATAGAAGGAGCAACCAAATATGAAAAGAAAATATTATAAACTGATGAACTCGGAAACCACACAATTGCATTATTCAAAATCTTATTACACTCCCGTCATTTGTTTTTGACAACGCGTACCAACGCTCTATAATTTCTTCTGAGCAGAAGATTCACGTTGTCATAGCATTTGGAAAATATCGCTCGTAACTATACCTTGAAAGTCAGGGACAAGTTCCCTTCAAGGTAAGCACCCATACGGATGATGACCGATCTCAAAGGAAGGGACCTCAAAACCGGGAGTTCTCTTAAAATACAATACACTACTTCAAGGTACGAAATATATTTTCCCAATGCTCAGACAGGAGAGAAAATAATTTTAAAAACTAAAGATTTAGAAATACAATAAAATAAATACAGGATGCGAAATATGTTTTCCAATGCTCAGACAGGAGAACAAATAATTTTGAAAACTAAAGTAAATACAACATACCCAAGTACATAAGTTCTTTAAAAACAAAAAAGGAAGAAGGAAAATCTTGCAATATTCGTCATTACATTCGCAGTATCTTGTAAAAGTTTAAAAAAAAAAAAATAAAAAAATTACGAATAGGAAAGAGTAGAATATGTCATTGCTTCATTGTGTAGTAAACGAGACATTCTTGTTATAGTCAAAGGGACGCGAACTTACAGCCAGAACATCGAATTAAATAAAATCGAAAGAAGTGAATGCTCTATCGTGTCGAGCTTAACATCAAGTTGATAGAGCTTCGATTTCAATTGTTAATTTTATTTATTTGAAAGACGGAATTGAAACCCATTTAGATAGAGGTTTATGCATCCCTGTGTTATAGGCATAAGCTACTAACCACTCCAGAGAAATTTGGACGGGGAAAAAAAAAAGAAAACCACAACCAATCCTAGAAAAAAACAACATAGTAAACAAAATACAAAAAAAGAAATAACCAAAAAAAGAAAGTAGAACCTCCAAGTGCCCAGGGAATTACTAACCCTCATTAAGCTAGAATAAGCCATCCCACCAGCCAACAATAACACGCAACCACCAGTTCACGAGATGCACGCCGGCGACAACGCCACAAGGGCACTCCTTGCGGCCTGGTGGAGGCCCCGAGACCCAACGTTCAACACGAGCAGCTCAGCATCGGCTGCGACAACGGAGGAACGTGAGACCCCCGACACCGCCGAAATTAATAACTCGGAAGGACAAACGACGCTAGTCCGCGCACTAGCGGCCCTGTCACTCACCGAGCCAGACACCCAGCGATGCCACCGAGAAAACGTGGAAGATAACACGACTAGCAAACACGTCGCCGCCATGTATCACTCCATCGCCGGAAAACCGTCGCCACGCACACGGGCACGGGAGAAGAGGGACCAGCAAATCTTGCAACGATTAAAACGACATGCCGCGACCGGGACAGCAAGCCGCCGCCTCGCTACAAGACGACATGCAAAAAGAATTCCGCCGACAGTCGCGTCGTCTCGAGGAAGTCTTCTTCGAAGGGAAACGACGGTACCGGCTCATCCTTAACCACCGCAACGAGTGAAAGGTTATAGAATTACTTTGGCTTCCACCCGCCATGCGCGGCCCTCGCCGCACCCGAGATCCCGAGACACCACGCGTATTACCCCGAGGGGTACGTCTGTGCCACAATACTGCCACGACGCAGTCGATCGTCCCATATTACACCAAGGCCGACCTGACCGTGGTACCACCCTGTCACCGAATGACGGACCTGCCGTCAGTAATCCGTACTAATGTGGCCGGACTGATCACCCGGATGCTCTGTGGCCACGTTCGCCCAACACAACTGCGGCAGCAACGACAGCGCCAGCGAAGCCATCACCGACCAGCCAATACCGGAGATGCGTGTCATCAGCCACTTCTCTTTCCCCCCAAGGACGGAGGATCTGCTAGGGCCCAAAGTCGTCCCTCGTTTTGGCCTCACGGGTTTTCCATCTCTGGCTGGGGAAAGTGGAGTGCTAGAGAGAAAGATAGAATAAGAGTGGGATATGCGTAGTATAAGAACAGGATAGGCATAGGATAAGAATAAAGATAGAAGATTAAGATAGAATAGGAATAGATTCAGATAGAAATTTGTGGCAAGGGTTTAACGTGGGTTCCTGCCTGAAAGGCTTAACCCCACGGTGGCCCAAGCCACTTTTAAGCGTACTACGCCCCCTGGAGAGTTAGACAATCCCCACAGAGTAGGGGCCTAAACAGCACCAGAGTCCAGAACAGTTTATTGTGTATGGAACAATAAATCCCTTTCTGGTCAGATTCAGATAGAATAGGAATAGATTAAGATAGGATAAGAATTGAATAGGTCAGGTTAAGAGTAGGTTAAGGATAGGTTAGGGGGTTGGAATTCAGCCGCCGACTAAGAGAGACCTAGTTTTCGAGTCATAGTAGTCGGAATATAATTTAGATTAAACTACTAAAAATAAAGGTTCCTGCAAAATACAAATTTCTTGTGCGTTTTCATTACCCTGGGCCGCTAAGCTGCCCCAGCCTTTAGGAAAGGGACGAAAACGTCGTCGCTTTATGTTGCAGGTTCATTGCAGTTTTAACAACAACGTTCTTATTTTTACCAGACCTTGCACCATCTTTATGGCCTGGAAACATCAAGTTAATTTGCTCTCAAGAGAAGCGAACTCAGGAGGTGGTATTCTGTGATTTTCATAATTATAAATTAATTCTATTCAGGCCTACCATTTTACATTTACTTTTAATTAATAACTTTCTCCTTTATTTTAGTGACGCAATTTTTACTACTATCACGAGTATGAGCATAATTTTTACCAGCGCAACGTTATATATAATTCCCGTTAGCATATGCATTTACGTTTTATATTCTATTATTATGGTAAGCACCTTATTACTAATTTAATAAACAATAGCGTAAGCATTATTGTTAATGATATTTTAGTATATATGATAGATGGTTTTAGTACTTAAAAAAGAGAACACAAGGCTAACACACAAAGGCAAAAATTCGATGTTTTGTTTGTTCGTTGTTGTTCGTGATATTCTATGCTTTGATTTTACCCTTCCAAAATATTATGTACAGTAAGTCAATCCGATAATCCTGTAACAATCTCAACTTGCTAATTTTTTGATACTCCCAAACTTTCACTCAAGAAAAGACCAAAAACTTTAAGGACCATGTTAAGGCAAAACTCTAAATAAACGGGCTCTATAATTTTTTTAAGGCCCCTTTTAGGCTATAGCTATAGAATTTATTTCTATTGCTGAATTAACTATGATCGTAATATTAATAATATAAGCATACTTTTTTTTATACCATATGTGGTATGTATATAGATATGTATATATCTTTCATTCAGTTCAAATTAGCAACTAATTCCGTTTAAAACAACCAAAAAAAATTTTTGTCCTTCATGGCTTTCAATACTGTTGGCAATAAAAACATTGTCCTGTTCTAATGGCGACGAGATTAAAGTTAAATCATTTTTGTAAAACTCCTGTCCGAAAACTTAAAGAACGTTGTTAAGACAGAACATCTTGAAGTCAGTGACCACATGAAACTTTCACAAAACTTGAAGACGGCAATAGGATCAATCCAAATATCAACTACATTTGCAGGACTTAATTAATAAATGAAAATTATAGTTTAAATTCAAAAAGCCATTTTTACCAAATAATATTAAAATAAATTCCGATTCCTTCGAAAAATTGAATATAAAAAAGAAATAAATAAATAAAAAGCTACCAATTTGACCAATTAGATTTGTATAAGCTGTCAAAGTCTGGTCAATTTTGCATATGGGATTGGACATCTGTCTCTGATGTCAAAAAAAAATTTGCTTTTGATTTAAAACTATTGAAGGCTTAAAGAACAGAAAGAAGAAAATAAGAATACAAAACAAGAATATATTAGAACGATGCAACGATAGCTGTCCGAATTTCGATTCAATTATGAAGACGCTGGCGTCAAAACTAGAGATGGAAAGAATGATATTATGTTTATAAAAGAAATGAAGTGGATGAAAAGGAAATGAGTTCACAACAAATTCACTATGTTACACAAGATTATGATGGCCATCCGCCTGAGCGGCCGAGTAGGCAAGAGTCTCGACTAGCAACTTCAATGGCCGTATGTTCAAATCTCAACTGCGGTGGAGTTTTTAATAAAGTCACAAGCCTGAGATGCTAGTGCTTTAAGACTTTCGTCTTTATTTATTCTCGGACTAAATTTATAATAATAATAATAATAATAGTAATAATAATAAAGTGATGGCCAATTATTAAAAATTGTTTCAAAGGTAATGTTTTTATTGAAGCAAAATAAAAATGAACGGGACAGCGCAGAAAAAAATATGTGAGTTTCATTGAAAAAAAGATATTGTATTCAAAAGCTAACTTGATTTTTCATTGCAAGCAAGTTATAATTACACAAAAATAATTTTATGTAAAGCCGCGCAGTGATTTTTAGACAGATTTAAATCAGTATCAATTGATAGGGGAAATCAGCCTACTAATGAACTTTTCAGTACGCGTAGTTATTAGTTATTCCTATGTACTTATAGTAGCATAAGTGTATTTTTTCTTTCCGCTCATTATTTTCTATAGCAAGCAATTTGTTATTTTCTTGTGAGTAGTATAGGGATGCTGTAATAAGTGAGAACTGCATAAGTAAGAAAGGAATGTCATATTCGAAGTAAGTTAGTTGACATACTTCGAATGTGATCCACTAACCGATTGGCAACGCCAGTTCGACTTTGGACGGAGACATAGTGGAGAAGAAGATTGCACATCCTCTTGATTCTGGATGTAACCGCCGGCTAAGTAACAAACCACCATCTGATATAAAATCCGCCATCACCCGATGGGATTGCTCGCTATAGGTGCCGCCCGATGGGCACAACCGACAGGTCTTTCCAGTTAAGTGTAGGTATTTTAATGTTCTTCATTTTCTCACTATGTATTTAAATTAGTGACATAAGTTAATTGAGAAAAGGAAATTCAATTATAACGTTCTAGAGATATTAGAATTTTTGTTGAGATTAGAAATATAAATAACGAAGGTAAAGACGCCTGGGCTAGCCGCTGAGGCTTACCCCAACGTCATTTAAATAAAAGGTAAATTTTTCAAATGAGGAAAAATTCTTCTCCTCACACCGCACCTGAGCAGAGACGTATTAAATGATAGATAAGTGAAAGGGACTGTGGTGTGGACTATGTGCGGTTGTCATGTCCACGAACAAAGTTAGGGTAGGGTGTCAGTCGGTCTGTTTTTGTCGTAAATGTAGTAATAACAGCATGCCGTTATGCAAAATCGCACGATCACAAAAATAGGGGCTTGCCGCTATGCACAAAGAGATCAAGCGAGAGAAAAATGAAATAATTTGAGAGAAGAGATCTAGAGAATTATGCTTGAGTTTTCGGTGGTTGTTTTTTAGCTACGAAAAGAGTCAAGTTTGTGTTGTGAAAGAGATCGGATCTAGGGGACGGTGTCGTTGAAGTCAAAGTAATTGAGTAAAACAAGAAGAGGAAAATATAATTAAAAATCTTGTTTTCTACTTGTAAATGTTATCGTTACAAGTTTTAGTTTAAATCATTATAAGTGTTAATAAAGGCATAAAAGATATTAATAAGAAAAGTATTGATAATATCTTGTATATATAGATATAATTAGTGAAATTCAGTATTAGAAAAGAAACAAAAATGTAAAACGGAACACAACAAAATGTTATTCACTTAAATTAAATCTTAATCATAATCATAATGAAAATTCAAAAGAAAATGAACACAAATAATTATATATTATTCCCTGGAATTTTTAGTCAAACATTATGAAAAGTTTTGTGCCTAATTGCACAATTTCCTCATAATGAATAATTTATAACAACAAGAAACAAGTCATTTAGTAAAAGGAATATATTTGGCAAAGGTAAAAAGAAAAGAAAAATAAAGAAGAAAAAAGAATACGTTGACGAACAAATAGACTAAGGTACCGAAAGAAAAAGCGATCCGTTGACAATAACAAATCTCTAATTGTAAAGTAAAACAAGAAAGATATGCGGTCATGTTAACAACTATTTAGTTAGAGGAGTGCTACATTGTATTTATTTACTTGCTGGTGTTTTAATGACTATTTGAAAGTTTATGTTTTCGTTTTTTTTTTTGCTTATGCACAATTCTAAACTGGGATTATATTGAAACTAACCCAAAATAAGTAAATAAAGTGTTCGTTAAAGCCTTTTTAAGAAAAAAAAGGGATAAATCCTTATTATTCAAGACATCCTGGTAAAAAGGGCAAACAGCTAAACCCCTGCTAATGATTTAAAAGTTTGTATTGTGGTGAAAATGCCTGCCTTGGTGTTTTGCAGTCTGGGCTTGTCCTCGACTGAATACAAACAGCATTGGAAGGAAGGAATCGAATAATTTTACAATTGCGGCTATTCTCAGCGAGCTGAATGGTCAAAAGAGTAAGTTCATGAGCGCCTCTTCACTACTTGCAAAAATCATCAAGCTGTCACCAACTCAAAGGCTGCCAACATATAAGAGGTTTACAAGGTATTGTGTTAGTTAAGAAAACGGAACAGAATATAAATAAATAAATGGTGTATTCCACCGCTGAGGCGGAGCATGGAAGGAAACTCGGATGAGTAGAGAATAGGGAGACTGGAAACAGAACAAACAGACTAAGACAGCACCAACGAAAGTCGTACAGGACGAACAACGGACTTACGTAACGACGTTGAGTTAGATTAAAATATGTATTCTTATTTTTTTTCATATATACTTTTTTTCTTGTCATGCGGTACTGCGGGCAGAGAAAAAAAAAGGGCAACTGCCCTACCGCTCACGAGCTAGGCCTCGTGAAACGGTGTTTTCGTAAAAGTATAAAGTGTTGGAAAAAAAGAGAACAAGAATAAACACTTCAAATTAACTGTGGCTTGTTGGTGACTAAAAACAAAAAAAATTTTTGTCAGAAAAAGCGAAGAGACCTTTTACATAATTTTCGAATGGAACAAAAGAAGTAAATAAATAAATAAATTGAAGAAACACTAGTGGATTTGAAATTGTGACGTAGTTGAACATAAAAAAAAGAACTTAGACAAAAAGTGAAAGACCTTTTTTTAAAACGAAGTAATAGAAGTACGATTGCGGCTAGATTAATTTGTGAGGAGCCAAGGAAAAAAAAAACTTTTTTGGAAAAGAATATGAGTGAAAAATATAGTGAAGGAATCCGGAGAATCTCTTGGAAAGTAGCCAATTACGTAAAAGCGACATTGTTCATCTGGATCAGGGAATCCTTCTTTGAAGGAAAAGATACACATCTAAGGAAAACCGTAAGTTGGCAACTACTCCTTTATACAATTATGAACGGGTAAAATAATAAGAAAGCTGGTATGAAAAAAAGGTCGTTTCACTACTATGGTGTTATACGAATTTCTTTAGATTAATGATCATCGGACCCAACTTCGTGGTCTCCCACAATGAGCCAAAGAAAAACATAGACAGGGTTGGATGCTGGATGGCCCTCCGCTTATCATTCGGTAGGCAGGTTTTGTTCGTGCGCTTGTTGCTATAAGGATAAAGCACGTGTATTTTTTTTTAGTTGTAACCATCTGTGGAATTTGAAACTCCCCATATCTCATGAACTAGCTAGCTCAGCAATTACAAGTGCGTCCGTCTCTTACTACTTCCAATCCTCTTAAATTGACACCTACGCGTGGCCCTAAAAAAACAAAATAAATTTGAATTTCTAAATTCAGGCACAAAGTGAGAACTTTTGCGTTACACAATATGCCAACATAATCAGAGACCCATCTAATAAAAATGGATGGTTGCACATATATTTAGCTTTCTTTTATTTCAACTTTTAATAAAGATTTTTAAGTATGTAGTCATAACTAAAGTATTTATAAAGAAACCCCCGTAAATATATAAAAAAATATAATTTGGCGACGAGGATGGGAAAAAAGGTGAATGCTCAACAATTTGCAGCTTTTTTCAAACCACAAGAGTATTTGGTGGGACAATTATCTCAGCTGACCGTCGGCGCTGCTTCTTTGAGCGTAGTGCAAAGTAACAACAGCAGCATAATC